GTAAGCCATCAAGTCAAAATGAAACTCTTCCTGATAGACAATGAATTTTTCTAATGATGTTATAAAATGACGCTTAGTCAGTACTACATTTGGCAAGGTTGTTCCAAGGCATAGAGTAGTCTTAACACCAATTTTTGAAAGTAAATATTTCTGTTACTTAATATTTAAGTGTATTTAATAACTACGATGCAGTTCTAGGCATGAAAATCACTTACAATCAATGGAGAGTAGACGCCTGGGTCATTAATCAATATGAAAAATTGAAAATAGTATTTTAAACAATTGTAATTCCTGAACATATTTTCTGGTTGTACCTTCTTAAAGATTGATGGTACTATTTTAGCTAAATACGAGTAGGGCTTAAGTTTATACAAAATACTTTCATTGTCTAAGTTTCTGGCATATATGAAAACTAAACATAATTAAATAATTAGAAGTCTTTCAATTCTCTTGGCCAAACGCTGTCGTAATTTTTAGGCAAAAATCGGATTAAGCAAATCACATGATTCTCTCTTTTGAAGGCAAATAGTTCTGGCTCAGGCGTCTTAGAATATTGCAAGACAAGAAGAATCTGTAGTCCCTCAATGTGTGGTTTTCCCCCAAGAGAGCATTAGCAACCCAGCTTGTTCTCAGCTGCCTTAAAGATATGACTTTAACTGGCTTAGATTAGCACTTGGTATACCCTTAAGGCTCAAAAAATGTTAAATGAACTATTAGGGTTTGGTTGGGTATAAAGCATAAGAAGAGGATGAAATATTATTTTCACCATTTCTGGTCATTATTCACCCAAGTTTACCTTTTCTTTTTCTCTAACTCAGCAACCTTCCCATTATCCAGGCACCTGGCAGAGCTACTGTTGTTAAATTTCTGACAGCTTTTTCATTACAGGTCCTGTTTTTCAAGAGTCCGGTTAACTAAGTGATTTTGATTTGTGCCAAGCTGAGATGTGGAATAGACACTTGAAGTCCATTCTCTTGTTTTCATAAGATTTTATTTGAAGTTATTTGTCCTACTTTGATCTAAAAAATACTAAGGAAAAACTAAAATTCATCCAGTTTCTCATTCATGAATTAGTGCAACTAAGCAAAAGGATAGTAAATTCTGTATTTTTTTTCCTTTTTTATAAACCCAAGGCATTTAAAAAAATCACCAAGAAATTTTATACCCCAAAGTTGTTATTTTATTCAGAAATATATTAACAGCCATTTGTTTTGCTTATATAAGATAACGGTAAGACCTTTTTACTTTGTAAAACATGACATAAATATCTTTTTATTTATATTAAAAGTATGACATACATTTCAAAACATTTTTCTCATAATAAAAAAGGACTCACGTTTACTACAGAAAACATGAAAAATGCAGATAAGAGAAGAAAGATTTAAAATCAACCAACCAAGTCAAATCATATTGAATTCCGGTCTTTTTTTATTTCTTGTTTCTCATTCTTCCCTGAAGGCTCAGAAGCATCTTCTGGAAAGCATTCCTGATTACTTACCCTATACCCCCTCCATATACAATTACCACACTATAATCAGTTATACCTGGCATTTTCATATTCTTTCCACTCATTTTACATACAATCTCATATGGTCTGGCATCCATAACATTACGCTACTAAAATGTTTCTCTTGAAATTTCCAGTAAGCTTCTTTATCATTATCCAAGTACCATTTTTTCCTACCTTCCCTGTTCTTGGTGTTCACTGAAATTTGCTTTATGTTTGAAAATCTCCTAACTTGGATTCCATAATGCTACCTAATTTTTATTCTCTTCTTACATTTTTAACTTAATTCTTGTCTCTCACCTTCAATTTCTCTTATTCTCCCTCGAATATGGTGTACAGATTGATATTACCTTCACATGTAAACAGCAGAAGGACCAACTAACACTCGTGGAAACTACAGGATATTTATTATTTAACAAGAAGTTCAGAGGTTGACAGTCCCAGGGCTGGTTTAGGGGCTGAAACAGGAAATCAGGGATTTAAGTTCCTTCCTTCCTTGTGTTCTGTCATTGTCTGTGTTAGCAATGTCTTGTTTCCTACTCACTTGATGGCCATCTAGCTCTCAGAGGGTAGGAGGCCGAGGCAAAAAGACCCTTATGCTCGTTTAATCAGGGAAAAAATTATTGCTCATAAATTTCCTTAAGTCACATTGGCCAAAAGGGGTCTTACATCCACCCCTACACCATTTAATAGTGAAGAGGAAAGGGAAGAGAGAAGGGACGATGGCTGTGGGGTAGGTAACTGACAGAGGCTACTCTCCTTGCCTGTCAACCATGGCTGCTCCTCAAGACTGTCTTTTTCTCTCTATAACCCAAAGTCTCTGATGTTCCATTCATATTATGCCCAAAAAGGGTTGTTGTGAAAACCAGCGGTAATGTGAAAGTGCTGTATAAACAGGAGTCATATTGTCTTAATAAATTTACGATATGTTCCCAATGAGATGATCTTAAAATAAGTTTCTAGTAATTCTTCTTGTGTATTGAACCAAGCACAAAATCCCATGCTAATCCTTTCTTCAGAATTTATCTTCATCTTCTTTCCATTTCCACCCTCCTATTGTAGGTCTCAATCACCTGATACCTTTACCACGGCAGAGACTCCTGCTTACCTGTCTCTTGCTTGTTTGCTGCTTCTTTCACGATGCTCATCAGCGTTCAAACGTTTTTCCTACTACACACAATATAACCACTGTAGCTGGCATTCAAGCCCTTCAGCTAACACTTCTACCTAAACCAAATGTGTGCTCCTCAATATGGGCTCTCTTCTTTCTAGTCAGGCCTCTTCTATCAACCTCTGTAACATTCCATACTCATTCCAATACCTCGTCTGGGTTCCTGCTGTCACCATTAGCTGGAATGTTTGACTTTGCCTCTTATATCACTGCAAACAGTGCTACCTTACCCAACAAGTGGACCAAGCAGCAGGGGTTGAGAGCACCAATAAAGCAAGTGACCTAATTCTTTGGTCTGACTAGAATTCACAAACCTACCCTAAACTGTTTGATTCTCCTGATGGGATTAAACTAATCCATTTATGGTTAAATTAGTAATTATTTTCATGTACTACCCTTACCACAAATCCTAAGATCATTTTATAAGTGTAGGGACTGTAAACAATAGCCTAGTGTTATACAACTGCATTGAATACTCATTAGACACAGAATTAGGTGATCTTCAAATAAGTTAAAACCATATATACTATGCTTTTACCCATTCTTCCTATACCTCAATTTTTTAAATTGAATTATGTGCTATATACTGCTAAGTCAGGATAAATGACAGTGAGTCCCAGCATGAGGTAGTAGGATAGGGGAAGTGTGCATTTACCTCTTTCCTCTGGTGTGCATAATGCTGTTTCCTGGCTATAATAGAAACACAAGTTTGAAGGAGGTCATGTCAAATATCACAGAAGTAATGCCTTGGCTACAGCAGTTCCTGATCCTACCAACCTCATTCTTTGTCCACAAAGATAGTAGAATATGTTCTGTTATCTTGATTTCTGAGTTTGAGGAAAAATAGTTCAGTGATTTAAGGTCTTTCAGTTAGCACAAATACCAGGAAGGCAAAAATTGTGCTAAAATTTTAAGAGAAAAAACGATTATGTGAGTTGTAGTTTCAGAAAGAAACGTTTAGGTATGGAGTTTTTGTTTGTTTTGTTCTGTTTTGTTTTTGCCTATGGAGTCTGAAGAAGAAAAATTCACCCTGTAAATAAGACAACCTCATTTTTAAAGCATTTCCAAAGGTTAAATGAGGTCGGATCTTAAACTTGAGAGTCTTTTTGTGGGTTAGGAGAGAAGGAATTTATTAAGGAGAGGAAGAAGATGTAGCTAATGTATTGTGATGATGATGATGACAAATAGAATGATTTAAATTTCATGAGTCATTCTTTTCAGGAAATTATCTGCATGTGTACTTTCATAGGCGAACTCCACAAAACTGGGCATTACCCTTCAATAATTTCTGAATAATGTAGTGACTTAACATACATATAGCCACGTAAGTGAGTAAGCATTATTATTAGTAGTAGTATTTTGGCTTAGATTTAACTAAACTACCTTGGTAGTTGCAGGACATCTAAGTTTCAACACAAACTTCTGTCTAGCTGATTTTAGAGACTGTCCCATTAGCATAAGAAAGTCAATGGAAATTAGGCAAACCTGAATTTTCACTTTTATCCCATTTCACAGAACAACAGTGTAAATGGGGAAAGGAAGAAGAAAGTGAATTGATTTTCCACTTGAGAATTATGTTAACTTGTAAGAAAACGTTGGGTCTAGTATGTGAGAGCATTTGGTGAGAAGGAGAGAAGACACCACCCCCTCCCCTGTACCTTCCTTTATGCACACCTGACCTTTGCTCACTTCCTTTCTCTATGCTTGTCTTCTGGTTCTTATTAGCTTTCTTATTCCTCCACACACTGGAAAGCTAAGCCTCATGATTTCTGATCCAAGGCTATGGAATATTTGAAACGAAAAAAGAGGAAATTTTTGAGTCCAGAACCAAACATTTAAAAAATAAATAATGATCTTTGATGTGTTCACCAACTACCTGCCTTAAGAAAACAAAACCAAACAAAGCCAAACAGAAACTAGACAACTAGTTAGAGCGGTGATTGTGCTCTGCCATCCAGGGACTCCCTATATGTTTATTTCTACCCCGGCTTTGCGTTTCAGTAGGTCAGGAAACATACACTAAGAGCAACAATTGGAATTGCATCGTCCTTTACCGCCACAAAAATGCGGTTTAATAACATAAGTTAATGACTTAAAAAACACATTGGCTCTCTATACGGTTTATTTGTGTCATTAAAGGTAGCTTTTCGGATCAGCATGAAGGATGTGAAGTGAATGAGAAAATAGGAACGTTTCCTCCCCCCCTTCTTTCTACCGAGTAGAAGGAGATCCAGTCCAGGTTTTGCCTTTGACTGCCTCTGAATTTCGGCTGTGCAATGTGTAGCACGTTTCTCTCTCCCCCCTCCTTTCTCCTTCCCTCTTGCCTCCAGTGTCTGTCTCCAGGATTTCTCTCTTCCTATTTCAGGAGGACTCTCACAGGCTCCCTCAGCCTGTGTGAAGCTGAGGTTTCCCCTGGATCCCGTATATCCCCGACACATACCTCCACGCACACACGTCCCCGAGAACCTCGCGCTCACACCGACATACACACGCGCGCACACACACTCGCTCTCGCCTGCCCATCTCCCTCCCGGGAGAGCCGGCGCGCCTTCCCACCTTCGCTGCACACTCCGGCGGCAAGCCTAGCTCGCAGCGCTCCAGGATTCTGCGGCTCGGATCTCGGATTGCAGCTCTGAACACCCATGGTGGTTTTTTAAACATTTCTTTTCCTTCTCCTCATTCTGGTTTTTATCGCTCCTTTTTCGAGCTGGAGAACTAGCGGAGCAAGGCAGCTGCTTTCCCAGCCAGCCCTGGTTGGCTTGCCACCCTCCATCTGGCTTATAAAAGTTTGCTGAGCGCAGTCCAGAGGGCTGCGCTGCTCGTCCCCTCGGCTGGCGGAAGGGGGTGACGCTGGGCAGCGGCAAGGAGCGCGCCGCTGCCTCTGGCGGGCTTTCAGCTTGAGGGGCAAGGTGAAGAGCGCACCGGCCCTGGGGTTCACAGAGCTGGATTTGCATGTTGCACCATGCCTTCTTGGATCGGGGCTGTGATTCTTCCCCTCTCGGGGCTGCTGCTGTCCCTCCCGGCCGGGGCGGATGTGAAGGCTAGGAGCTGCGGCGAGGTCCGCCAGGCTTACGGTGCCAAGGGATTCAGCCTGGCGGACATCCCCTACCAGGAGATCGCAGGTAAGCGCGGGCGCGCGGTCGGAGCGGGCTGCAGCCCTCGGCTGCCGCACGTCCCCCTGGCCGCCCGGCGCCCCCTTCCTTTCCCCTGTTGCTGAGTTGGTGTTCACTTTCCGCTAGGGCTCTACGGGACGCTGCGTCTCCGCGCTGGGCGGCTGATGCTCCTTCGCCTTCCCCAGCGGGGGAAGGTGTGCGTCTCCGCTGCCTCATTGTGTGCACACGCGGGAGCACCCTTTTCCCTCCCTGCCTCCCTCTGCTCTCGCGCCCTTCTGCCCCCTCAGTTGATGGCTCAGGCCAGGCGGACGGGGAAGCCCGGACACTCGGGGGTGGCCCCAGGGAGCGGGCAGATACCTGAGCGGGGCGCCCACCCCACGCCTCTGGTTCGGGCAAACTTGGAAGAACTGCGACCGCAGTTCGCCCAGCGCCACAGTCTGAGTGGCGCCTTCTCCACTCCCGCCCTCGCGCCGGCAGGGGCGGTGGAGAGACGCGGAGGGCTACCCCGTCCCTCTCCACTCTCGCTGTCTTGCGGTGAGGCAGAGCGCGCAGCGCCCGTGCCGGGGGCGGGCAAAGCTGTGGGGACCGTAGACCGGGACCCGGTCTCGGGACGTCGGCATTTCAGAGCTGGTTTGGGGAGTTCACGGGCTGCTCGTTTCAAATTTGGGGCGGGCTTTCCTGTTCCTCTGTGCTTCCCCAATTGCTGTTGGTCACTCTTGGCTGGGGGACACCCCGCCACCGGCGCGGCGCCGGGTCCAGAGCGCGGCCTCGTCCGCCAGCCGGCTGTGGGAAGCTGAGCGAACTTAAGCGTGTGGCTCAGCTGGGGATTCGGCTCGGGGTCTGGGGACCCGGTGTCCCCCGCTTGCCCGGGCACTAGCGTTCCTCCACCGAGAGCTTGAGAACCCTCACCCTCTTTCTCGGCGCCAGTACGTGTGTGTAGCGCTTGGTCTCCAACAACTTGCGCAGCAGTCTGGGTGCATGTTTTCCGGCTCTTAGCTCCAACCGAATCCGAGTTTCTCTGGGGCTCTGTGAATGAAACGTGTCAGGGAGAGATAATCCTTTGGCTGCGAGAGAACAGAACTGAGAGAGGCCAAGGGAGGCCAGGAGATGCTGCGAAGGCGCGGGCTGCTCAAACCGGGCGGCTGAAGTCCGTAGTGACCTCAGATCGTCAAGTCAAAACGCTGAATTTCCGTCATCCTCTCTCTGCCTTTTGCCAGAGAAACTGGTCGATGGATGAAAAGCATTTTGCAGATATCTTAACACATCACAGTTTCGATACGTTGTGGAATTGCTCTTTTATTATGGTTCATCTCCAAACTGTAGAAGTGAGGGCTTTTAACTTACACGGAAATTAAAACATTTATAAAAATTTGCGCATTGCCAAAAAAAAAAAAAAAAAGGCTCATATATCACTCAAACCGCGCGGCGCATTATGTAGAGGGAGCCTTTTTCAGTTCAGACCCATTCCCTCTGCTGAGTCTGACGCGGAACCTGTGGTGAATTATAAGCCTACTTTTCTATCCCTGTCACTTTCTTCCCTCTTTTCCAGAACTCCTTAATTTGTTAATCAATGAATAGAGAGCAGCTGCTGCCACAGCTCCTTAAGTTTCTTAACTCTCCTTTGTCTACTGTTACTTCATTCTTTTTAATTAATTGATAAGGATCAGCTTTGCTTTTTCTTTCCCTCCCCAAATCTCAGGGAATTCAACTTTTAAAAGGTTTGTAGTATGGATCACTTCTTCTAGGAACTTTTTCTCCTTTAATCTGGGCTTTTTCTAACTATCTTTTAAACACACAGATATTTCCCAACACGATTTCAGATAATATATCTAAAAGAAGAAAATAGTTAAGTATTTTTAAATTGCTTCAGTATCCTCTAGTGGATAACGGGACTCTCAGGGGACTAAAGTTCATCCTTAGCACTATGCACATCTCTTTAATATCAAAGTGAAGATTTTCAGTCTTAAATCGTTTCTGTAGTCATTATTTACTTTGCTGAGAACATTCCCATAAATCCTTTAGTGGATTTTTAACTACAGAGGTCTTGTTTTGTTTTTGCTTTTTGTCTCCTCCCTCACCCTTTTACATTTGCAGTATTTGCTTATTAGCTATGAATTTCTAAAATGTGTGCACTTTTAACTCTCCTACTTTCCAGGACTAAGGGCACCTGTTGACTTTGCCTTAAGCCTGGTGTCCTTTGATGTTGGTGGACTTAATCAAGATATAGGTCACCGGGGGGTCAGGGACACATTTGATAGGAAAATAATGAATTAAAAGAAAATTGTGTTTTTAAGGATATACTTGCCCCCCGCCCAAAGTAAACTTTACTTAATGCTACCTATTGCTGTTAGAATAATCACTTAGGAAATATGTCCTGTTATTAAAGGAACACACTCTTTCTCTGCTGCCTTGTCCTTGATACTGTTTACATTTAATTATCTAGTATAAGTAAGAGTTTCTATGGTGGTTATCTTTTCTTTAAACTTTTTTTCATCCTTTGTCTTGTTTGGACACCTAATGGTTTGCTGGAGAAATGGCATATGTCATTGGTCAGCCAGGGAACATGAAGTTAAAAGATTTGCTCTTTCGACTTCAGGTTCATGAGAACTGTTTCTAATTGAAAAATATTTGCAGGTAGTTTGCCTAGTAAAATAACTGAGAAGTAATACTGACATTATGTTTCATCATGACATTATTAAAGTTTTACTCAGAACTCACGATTGTAAAATAGTGTTGCCCTTTTCTATTCTAGGATAGAGGAGAGTTCTTCAAACTCAGCAGATGAGGGACTGTGAGAGGTAATATATAAAGTTATACTCTCAGAGAGTGTTTGGGAAGGAGGAAGCCTTCAAGGGGCAGTTTGCACCATTAATCTTCACTCAGCCCTGATTTTAAACCATTGCAAACAGATCAGATAGACTCTATCTATCCTTGTTTGAAAAACTTCCAAAGGAGTAGATTCTTGAGCCCTTCTCAGCAATCCATTCTAGTTAGTAATTCTTGTGGCATAGAAATGTTTTCAGATATCCAGACAAAAGCCTTCACAAGGTGCTTGCTTATTTTTCTCTGTTCTATCTCTGGGGAGATGTTGAGCAGTGGATCATCAGGTTCTTTGTTAGGGCAGTTATTCTGATTAAAGATCAGTATGAAACATTCGAGTCTTTCACTGCGCATCAGTAAATATTACGTCATTTTCCAGTCCTACTCATCTTGATGGTCTAAACTTCCAAAGGAACTCCACAACTGAAAATAGCACCTGCTTAAAAGTCTGGGAAATTCAGAGAATGTTGTTTCAGGCTTACTCTGCCACTATTTTATGCCTTGAGCCTTTCTTGGATCATTAATTACAATATTTTGGGTAGTTAATAATGACTTATTGGCTGACGTGATCATGTTTTCATTATGTATCTAATGTAAGTTAACGCTCTTATATATAGAAATTATTATGTGCCCATAACCTATTTAAAAACGTTACCTTTAAAACATTACCTTTACTGAATCCTCTAATAACTTAGTAGATACTAACATTATCCCCATTTTATAGATGAAAAGACTGAACAACAAAGACTTTAATTAACTTGCCAAAGGGTGACCCAACTAGTATGTGATAAAGCTGAAATTCAGACCCAAGCATTCTGACTCCACAGTCCATAGACCTAACCTGGCCCACGACTTACAGTATTAAGCATTCAGCATGTTTTGAATAACTGTATGCAAAGTCTATTCTTTTTCCATCATATATAGCCTGATACTGTTAATCACCGTATACATGTATGTATTCCTCACAGTTGTTCATGAAATAACAAAGATAGAATACTTTTCTATTTTCTTACAACATATATAATTTCTCAAAATCACTTTGAATTTGGAGAAGTTGGGCAGCTACCACCACTAAATTGTCATGTCATGCATAAATTGTCATTTATGCATTTTCATGATCATTTTATTGCAAAGATACAGTTATATAAAACATGGAAACTAAAATATATGGTTTCTTTCGATACCTTTCTCAGGTATTTTGAGAGTAGGGTTACAGCTGAATATGAAGGCGGCATTAAACTCTTTCCCATATCTTTGATATCAATTTATCAAATATTTATCTCGAAATCTATAGTACCAAAAGAAAATTCCTTTATGTCCCACTGATGTTCTAGCAGTATTTTTAGTTCTTCTTTATTGGCTTCAAGTTTCAAATTATATAATGCCTTATTTTCACTGACCTTTGTCCCACAGGCCTTTCTTTTCTGGAAGCCTGTCCTCTTGTCTACTTTTCCAGCAAACCAACTTATTTAACACATTTGCCATTAACACAAATCTTTTTTTCAGTCTGCATGTAGATATCTGATTGACATAAATGGGAAACCAGTGTTTGGTAACTCTTATTCTTTTATAGCTATATTAAATATCCTAGTTTGGGATAAATTGTTTTAATTTCTGTTTATCTGCCTGCTTCAAAGATTTCTGATTTCTTTGTCCTCTGTTTAGTTGGCTGATTTCTTTAAAAATTTTTTTTGAAGAACAGAACGGTGTAAGATATAAATGAATTAGCTGAACTTCAATTTTTTTTTTTTTTATGATTTGGCAAGTCACCAGATTTGTAAAAGAATCACATTAATTCCAGGTATCAAAGCAATTTAAAATTTGGGCTATTAGAAGTGCCACTTGTTAAAACTCTTGATTTGGGAATTAATTTTAGAGTGATCCTTGCAAACAGAATTATGTTAGCTGATTTAATTAGAGGATAATATGTCATCATTGGGAACAAGAGTTCATTTGAGTTGACTGATACACTTTTTTACATAAAACACATCTTTTAACTGTACCTTTGCGTCTTAATAGCTTGTGAGTAGAAATGTAGGCCACTATCAAAATTGATTTAAAATGTACAGTATTACATTCTTTAAAATATTATGGTATAAAGACTGTACCATAATTCATGTAAGAAAGTAGTAGTATTTTTTAAAATTATGGATGAAATTTATGAACACTTATAAAATACAATTATTAAG